GTGTGTGTGTGTGTGTGTGTGTGTGTGTGTGTGTGTGTTTGTATGGATAGATGAGGGCACTGATTGTAGTGTAAAGCACTTTGAGTAACCTGGTTGAATAGAAAGATGCTATGTAAGTACACTCCTTTTACCATTTATTTCAGCCTTATTCTCATAATTTTGTGACTTTATTCTAGTAACAACATTACTTTATTCTCATAATTTAATATATATAAATTCTCTTACCCTAATATTCTGTCAAAAAATGTGTTTAAATACAGTTTTTTGTTTAAAAATTTCCCCTTCCATGTCGTTGCAGTGTAACAGTCTGAGCTGCAGCTCTCACCGGAGCACCCCCCCACCCCTCCCCTGACTATAACTGGACTAAATAAAGCCTTTTCACCTCCTTGTATTATCTGAAGCTCTCCGGTGTGTCTTAAAGTGGCAGCGCCTTCATTAAAATGAGTGATGATGCGAGTCTGTTCCCACAGAGGAAAACCAAGACTTTTAGACAATAATGGATGGGCCTTTGACTAACACATTGTTTCCTCTCTTTAACTTTGGGAGTTTGTTTGTCTTGGAGCATTGTACTGTCTGCCGTCTGCGAAACATGTTCACGCACTCTGTTCACACATTTTTTTGTTGCAGCTGAGTGAACTGACGTGTTCGAATTCACTCATTTATCATCCGGTGCAATGGGTGACACCACCTGATGTTTGCTGATTTGTGTCTAATTGTTGTGGTGTTTGAGACACCAGTTACTGAATGCATTTTCTGCCATTCTGCTTACAGAAAGTGTCCCAGTACACCATCATCGTGCAGGCCACTGACATGGAAGGCAACTTGAACTTTGGACTCTCCAACACAGCCACCGCACTCATTTCCATTACCGACATCAACGACAACCCCCCAGAACTCACAGTYAGGACGGTGAGTTTGATGTGCTTTCAAGATTGATTATTTCAGATCATCTGTGAAGGCAGCTCATCTGATAATTATTTTTTTAATCATAAAAATTAATTTATTCCTCTGTGAACAAGCAGAGATTAAAAGCCAGATAGAAGTTGATGGTTGCTCAAATTGCTGATTTAATTTTTAACACTTTTTTTTTACTTTTTATACCTAGGATAAATTATATTTATTTTAAATAACAATGTTATAGTAAATGCATAACTTTCTGAAGGAGGTAAGGTCTCAAAATACCTTAGGTGTCAAACTCAAGGCCTGCAGGCCAAATGGGGTCCATGTTACAATTTTATCTGGCTGCTGAGAAAATTAGTTTATCATCATTTATTATGAGGGGCCGTGCAAGCCATTAACCATACTGCCACTCTCACATACATACAGTAAATACTACCTCTCACATACATACA